ATTTTAATTTCATCATTTGTCTTCCATAAGTTACTACCCAGGATAACAGCTTCTGCCGTCTTTTTATCACACATCTTAGGCTTAGTGGTTTACAATGTTTTGCTGGATTTCTGTGTTCGAAGCCTTAACTTTTCATGATGGATAAAGCAGCAGTTGTATCTTCAAAACACAAACTTTAAAAAAGTCAAGTAACAGCAGTGTAAAGTAAAATTTATAATAAAGATCACATCAGACTACACAGCTTTTCTCCTCGGCTGTAACTTATAGGAAGCAAGTGATACATTTTAAATGCTATTCTTACACACCTCTGACTGGAAATATTTAAAGGATAAATTAAGAGGAAAGTGAAGAAACACATCTGCTGTCTAACTTATTTGCTGTTTAAGGTCAAACATTCGTAAGTATTCAGGGTTTCCAGATCATGCTCTCAAAATCCCAACTGTATAGAATATCCCCAGTTTCACAGCAGGTTCCATCAAAAGCATGCGCATGACTTGAGTCCATGAAAACATAAAGAAATATGTATTTTGATTATTTATTTACGGTTTATAAAAATGGCTATTGTGTTGTGCATTGATATACAATTTGAATGATGATTGAATTTGTGCAGAAAAACAACAACAACATTAAATGTACAGCTGCTTCGTATCACAAGAAAGATCCTACAGCGTATGTCTCAAAAGCATGTTTTTCACATATTTCCAAGACGATGACGATAAGAAAAGAAAGGTGGGAACTATATAGAATGAAGTATGATTGGTAGTCACATCTGTCCATTACTCTTTGGGAGAAGGAAGGGAGGATTAAAGTCACTGTGTATGCTTTGTAGTGAAAATCTGGAAGGTCATTATGAGACCTTATTAAGAGATAGAGAAAATACCCCGAAATATTGGGTTTTAACCCATCAAGAACGTTAACTCCACATGTTTCCCCCATTCAATATATTCACCATTTTCTTCCACAGCTTAATTCTCCCAAAAATAAAGGATTCTCCCAATCATGCAACCCTAGAAATATTTCATGTACTGAATATCAGTTTGAAGTTACAGTTTTCAGCAAAGAAAAATACGAAAAAAACAGCTATATCCAACGAGACTAAAGAGAGAAAAATATTTAAACTGAAAGTTATGCTGAAAAATGTCCTTCCTAATTAACAATTCATTATCCTCATAAGAATTGAACACTTCTCGCCAATAACCTATCTTTCTAAAACAAATATCATGGTTGTAACTTGGAAGAATCACTCGCACTGCGTCACTGCGTTAATATTACTCCTTTTCATTTGAAAAGATGATAAGAGGTTAAACAAATACTGTACAAAGTAGATTAGCTTTAACGCATTTAATACGAATCTACATTTGCTACAAACAAAAACGAATGACAAAATTCATTTTACTGTCATATGAGGAGATGAGGATTTTCATGTCCACGTGCCACACGGTGCATACTAAACACAGGAATCATCAGTTAATCACCATTGATACACGGTGCATACTAAACACAGGAACCATCAGTTAATCACCATTGATACACAGTACGTACTAAACACAGGATCCATCAGTTAATCACCATTGATACACAGTACGTACTAAACACAGAAATCATCAGTTAATCACCATTGATACACAGTACGTACTAAACATAGGAACCATCAGTTAATCACCATTGATACACAGTACGTACTAAACACAGAAACCATCAGTTAATCACCATTGATTCACAGTACGTACTAAACACAGGAACCATCAGTTAATCACCATTGATACACAATACGTACTAAACACAGAAACCATCAGTTAATCACCATCGATACACGGTGCATACTAAACACAGGAACCATCAGTTAATCACCATTGATACACGGTGCATACTAAACACAGGAACCATCAGTTAATCACCATTGACAAACAGTACGTACTTAATATAAGATTTACCTCTTAAGCTCTCTTGACACACCGTACGTACTAAACACAGGAACTACCAATTATTATTCTTTAACAAAAAAGTACATACTAAACACAGGAACCATCACTTAGTTCTCCTTGATACACAGTACGCAGTAATCCAGGAACAAGCAGTTAATCTCCTTTAACACACAGTACATAGTTAACACAGTACCCACCAGTCATTTTCCTTATATCTTATGTTTAGTATGTATCGTGTGTCAAGCAAGATTAACAAGTATATCTTATGTTTAGTATGTACCGTGTGTCAAGCAAGATTAACAGGTATATCTTATGTTTAGTATGTACCGTGTGTCAAGCAAGATTAACAAGTATATCTTATGTTTAGTATGTACCGTGTGTCAACTTGTTAATCTTGCTTGACACACGATACATACTAAACATAAGATATACTTGTTAATCTTGCTTGACACACGGTACATACTAAAACTAAAGAACCATCTGCTAAGCTCGCATGAAACACCATACACACTAAACACAGGAACTACCTGGTAATCTCGCTCTAAACAACGTAAATACTAAAAACAGGAACCACCTGCTCAGCTCATTTGAAACATCATACATACCAAACATAAGACTACCTCTTAAATTTGCTTGACACACCTTACATACTAAACACGGGATCTATCTGTTAAGCTCACTTTAAATACGGTACATACTAATCACAGGAACTACTTTTTAGGTTCTCTTGACACACCTTACATACTAAACACAGGATCTGTCTGTACAATTAATATTTACTCCTCACCAATGCAATTTATTTACATACTTATGAGGACTGCAGATCAACATAATGTCGAATAAAAGTAATTAAACATACCATTCTTACTTAACGTTATTTGAATGCACTGTTTCATTAGCTGGATACACTCGCTCTTAGCAATATTTATAGCCGTAATCTCAATATTATCTCACGACGTTAGCTCAGCAGCGTAGGTAATTTAGATTAGTCCTAAATCCATATGCTAAGCTAACAATGCAAAATAATCTTTATTTTAAAAATATAATAATAAACAATTAAAAATAGGTATATTAAACATTCTAACCAGTACTGTTAACTGTATTGCTCTACGATGGATTTAAATGCTTTATACATTCACAACTGTGAAGAAAGCCCAGAGATATTCAGTCCAGTAAAAAACGACGTGAGAAAAAAAGTTGAACCAAGCAACAGAGATCTAAGTAGAAGTTAGTAAAATATACATTTAATATATATCCATAATTTTCGGTACAAAAAAAATGTTTATAAAGAAATTGATTTATTTTCTTTTAAAATACTTTAATACATGGTTATAACATCGAAGCTTCCAATCATAATAGAAATACGTAATCTCGGAACTGAATGTGAGATCTAAAGACAGCACGCGAATTAAAATATTTTTACCAGTCGATTAAGGGACTACAAAAATTTAAAAAGTTCTATTATCTGTGTTTGCTACAATAACTATTTTGAATAAATGTATATATATATATATAGTAAAATTAACTAAAAATGGTGTAGTTTCTTTAACTTTAACTTGGAAAATAGTTTGATAACTTGAATGATAGTAATTTAATATAAGTAGATAATCTCCATGTCTAAATGGCTTATATTTATAAAATATAGACGTAAGTTTGAAAAACTGCCTTTAAAATTGACAACTATCAGAATGTCTTATTCTTGTCTGGAGGTTTGAAAAACTGCCTTTAAAATTGACAACTATCAGAATGTCTTATTCTTGTCTGGAGGTTTGAAAAACTGCCTTTAAAATTGACAAATTTCAGAATGTCTTATTCTTGTCTGCAAAATTTTGTTTTTGCATCAGTTTAATTATGATAAATTAATTTCATGAGTTTTGATATTTCATTTTTAAAGAATGATATGCAACTTTTACTAAAATAGTTTCATTCAAATATGTTTGAATTACTGTAACAGATGAATTTATAGATAATCGCGAGGCAGGTTATCATAGAAGTAAAGCCATAAGAATGCATAGAATATGGTTGTCTCGTTCAATATCGTTTGATTTGGCAGTAACCTAATACCCTGAGTGTGTAGGTGAGTGTTATTATAAATGGTTGTCCTAGTAATCTGAGATATTTGTGTTTTGGTGTGTGTCAGAATAGTGTTGATCTGGTATTCCGAAATATATGAGTGTGAGTGGGTGTCTGTGCAAAATGTTTCCTAGTAACCTAAGATACATGTGAGTAGGTGGGTGTCAGTATAAAATTTTCTCTTAGTAACCTGTGGTATATGTGTGTATGGATGGATGACAGTACAAAATGTTTTGCTAGTGACCTGTGGTATGTGTGTGTGTGGATGGGTGTCTGTATAAAATTTGTCTTAGTAGCCTGAGATATATGTAAGTAGGTGGTTGTCAATATAAAATTTGTCTTAGTAACCTATGGTATATGTGTGTGTGGATGGGTGACGGTATAAAATGTTTTCCTAGTAACCTGTGGTATATGTAAGTGGGTGGGTGACAGTATAAAATGTTTTCCTAGTAGCCTGTGGTATATGTAAGTGGGTGGGTGACAGTATAAAATGTTTTCGTAGTGACCTGTGGTATATGTGTGTGTGGATGGGTGACGGTATAAAATGTTTTCCTAGTAACCTGTGGTATATGTAAGTGGGTGGGTGACAGTATAAAATGTTTTCCTAGTAGCCTGTGGTATATGTGTGTGTGGATGGGTGACGGTATAAAATGTTTTCGTAGTGACCTGTGGTTTATGTGTGTGGATGGTTTACAGTATAAAATGTTTTCCAAGTGACCTTACATATGTGTGAGTAGGTGGGTGTCAGTATAAAATTTTGTCTTAGTAACCTGAAATATATATATGCAAGTGTGTGGGTATTAGTATAAAGTTTCATCCTAGTAACGCGAGATATATGTTAATACTTGTGTACTTGAGAATTATCGCTCAAGCAATCGAAACTTCGAACATGTTTTACAAAAATCTTTCCTTGCTGTAAAGGCTGTAACTTGTAATAAAATGATACTTATGTTCAGTAAGCAAACCCCAAACGAAACTAAAAAGGATATTTGTATGGTCTAGATGTGTAACTGAGCAACACCTCTTTCGATCTAATAATTTATATGTTACCAATAGAGGGAGATCGTAAGCCTGATCAGAAAGTCCCATCTTCACTGACACCAAAGAGACGTAGAAAAGCTCGAACAACTTTCACTGATCATCAAATGAAAGTAAGTTTACACATAAAACCTTCTTTCTAGCAAATTGTCGTTTCTCTTCAAAAATCCAAGTTTAATTCCTAGAACAGATTTAAGTTTCATGTCACGGTCGTTTACGCTTTTGTACGTGTCTAAATATGTATCGAATGTTAACATTTGAAACGTTTTTAGAGTAGGCTCATCTACAGGTAATAATAATAAGTTAAAGAAGCCAGTTTTTAAAATACGTTAGCATACAGATAATGCAAATATTCATTTCGGGTGGAACAAAGGAAGTTTTAGAGGTAAAAGTATTTTGTCAGACCTGATTATATAGCATGGACAAAAAAAAAACAGAGTAAGGAGGAGGGAATGTGTCTTTAATTAATTTTAGAAAAAATAAATAGGTCTCAGTTTTGTTTGGAATTGTATCCTGTATTTTTCTTACAACTTAAGGGAAACTGAATTTCAAATCTATAATGAACTTTGATATTAGCCAGGCTATGAACTTGTAGCCAATAATACATACATATATATATCGTCACTTTACAGTTACACTTTCGAAATTATTTCTATTTTGTTTGTTTGTTACTAAGCGCAGAGCTATCTGCTACGTGTCATCTGTGCTCTGCTCAATGCAGGTATCGAAACCCAAATTTTAGCGTTATAAGCCCTCTGACTTCATATCTTAAGCTTGCAGCCAAAGACATTTTATACGTTGATAGAAATTAGAGTTAACATATTTATGCTTTCAACGTTTTCCCCGTTTTAGTCGTTCTTCTTCAATGAAGGTGAATAATCTGGAAAACTGATTTGATTATAGTTTAGACATGTTAAAAAGAACTGTTGGACAAAAGATAGGGTATCTTCATTTAAGGGATAACTATAAAACTACCAATAAGGATTACCGAATACCTCTACATTTATAAGATACACTTGTCAAAATGTCATTTTAATTTAATAAACGTTTTTATTTTTAGTATTAATTTGGAAAACAAGGTCTAGTCCTATGGAAACAAAAGTTCTTGCAAAAATACAGAAGGTCTTTGCTGATTTATAAGTTCATTTAAAAATTCAGATTGATTTCATCCACCTCTCAGAGTTCAATAATCACTGACGATGTTGCTATCTTCTAGAACAAAAGTGTTCACCATATCCAGAAAATTTTAAACAGGTGGCAAAAAGCTATTTGAAATTTCTAACTTGTATTACAGGCTTGTACCTTAAACTGTGTTTTGTATATCGAAGTTGGTTTGAATGTATAACTTAATACATTTCAAGTGACTAAAGTGAACATGTAGCACAAAATTGCAATTATTGAGCAAGTATATGAAACTATGTAACTGTTTTTTGTTATCGTACTTTCTTATTGTATGTCTTAAATTAGTATACTATTATTATGTTGTACGTAGGTAAGACATAATTCACACAAACTCTACAACTTTTAATTTTCTGTTTGTTAAAATCTTGGTTCTATGTGGGTTCTTCTTCGGGTATATTTTTAATAACTGTTTTTTAATTACATAATGTAAAGGTTGTCTTCCTTGTATTTAATTTTTTTTTTCACGAAACAACAGCCTCAATTTATAAATTACATAATTAACTTTCTAATAAAATAAAATAGTAAGCTGACAAATGACAGTAGCTTGTTATTGATATCAAACGCACAAAATAAGTGAGACGACGTCAGCCTTTTCTGCTGTTTGAGTCATAAGACATATATTCATTTCCAGACGATGGCATCATCTTGTTAATATTCCATTTATGAAACATATACACAGCGTGGTCACAAGTAAATAGACACCACCTTATCAGAAAAAAATGACATTTTTCAGTCATATTCACGTGAATTGATATATTTATAATTTAATTAATATCTAGTAGATCTTCCTTTCGCTTCGTGGAGTTCGTTGATCCTTTGGGGCATCGTGAGAATCATCTCGTCCATTTTAGGTTGTGAGATTTTCGCCCACTCTTGCTTCAAAACTTGGAGTAGATCGCTCTTCGAAGTTGTTTTTTTTTTAATTGTTTCTTGACTTGCCGATCGTGTATGGCCCAGAGGTTTTCGATGGGGTTCATGTCAGGAGATTGGCTCGGCCAGGGCAACTTCTGGATACCATTACCTTCCTGCCACTTTTGGGTGTTTCTAGCAGTGTGACACGGTGCTTCATCTTCCTGGAACAACGTTGTGTTCTTGTCCACGAAACCCGAGGAATAAAGTGGCAAGAGTCCTTCCTCCAATATTTCGACATATTTCGCAAAATTTATGTTGACAACGCACTCCACTAAGCTCGATATCCCACCAACCCAAACAGCTCCCCAAACCATCACGCTGAAAACATCATGCTTCACAGTTGGCTGCAATCTGTTGAGCCAAAAGTCTTGGTGAGGCATTCTCCAGACCTATATCCTTCCACTGTCCGAAAATTGAGCGAATCTTGATTCATCTGAGAACAATACGGTCTTCTAAAAGTCCAGAGGCTTGTTCATCATATCACTTGCCCATTTCTTTCGTCTGACTATGTTGGCAGGTCTTAATAAAGGCTTCCATGTAGCTGCTCGGCAACGATAACTCGATCTGTGGAGAATCCGTTGAACAGATTTCGGGCTCATCCCACCAACTTTGGCCACTTCTGCAGTCGTTCATCTGGAATCCATTTCGATGCTCCTCTTGACAGTCCGATGGACCAGGACGCTGCTCAGTTGTTTCCTTGCCGTGTTTCCTGAACTGCACGATGATTCTGTTGACGGTCGAAAGCGGGATTCCCAAATTTTGCGAAATTTGCCGCTGACTTATTCCACCATCTGCTTGACCAACTATCCTTCCTCTAACAAAATCTGACAATTCGAGAGAACCTTGAGTTCTAGGCATGTTGTAGCACAAGATAATTACTGTGCGGACTATTTTCATTTATTTCGTGCTCTGTGAACACAAATTAGTTAGCATAAATCAGTTAAATGACGAAAAATTAGGTGTCTATTTACTTGTGACCACTCAGTGTAGTTATTGCAAAGCGACATAAAATAGTTGATGCAGTTGCCACCAGTCAGCAATAAGTCGCAGCGTACCTCAAATTATCTTTTTTTTTCAGAATATCTATATTTTTAGAAACGACAGCACCAGCTAGTTAACATTGAAACCAAAGTATAAGTAATTTGTTTCAACAATGGTATCAATTTGTGTACTCACAACTTGCACTTTATTTTGCTGGCAACATCACTCCAAACGACCTATTTAGACTCCTGGGATTGGTGTACTGAACAAATATAAGTTAATCTCAGCAACCCATGTGATAAATGCTTTAATTAAACCTTAATTAGTTACAGTTTAAACGCCAAAAGCTGGTGAAGCATTAGAAACCAACAAGCCTAAAAATTGTGATAAAAATCGCGTTAACTATAAACGTCCCAACACACACACACACACAAATTCCTCTTAGTTTGTTCTTTGCAGATTCAAAATCAAAGGCGCGTAAAAAAAAAGCGAGATCTATCTTTTGTCTCTCACACCTCACCGTTGGGCGGGAAGATGAGAGGCGAATGAATCTCTGAAACGTTATTTTTTAATATATGCAGCTTAAAATGGAGCAGTTTAAACAGTAACTTTTACAGTATCATAGTACCTCTCCTTTTAAATCGTCAATGGACAAGTTAAGAAGAATCTAGAGTTAACGTGATTTTAATCACAAATTTTTAAAGCTTGGTAATTAATTTAGACATGCATCCATTGCCTATAAGATGATCCTAGTTCATCTTAATTCACTGTTGTACTTGTTGGTGCTCAAAAGCTTTTCATGAAGCTGTTGAACTGGTTGCAGTCATTGCCAGACGAATTATCGATACAAACTTTAACAGATATTTACAATTTCTACTAAACTATATGTTATCTGATATTCTGTTAATAATCTTCTGAAAGATGATGACATGACAAGGGCGTCGCTAAAAGAGGGGAGTGGATTACAAAGATCTCCCTTTGGTCCACAGATAAAAACAACCCCCACGAACTGCTTAAATGTGAAACCAATTACCTTAGCACAATCACAATGTATTCAAACGTACCATTACAGACCAGTGATCTCGTTTCTCTGCACAAGTCTACACTGCACTGGCCAGGATAAACCCTTCATTTTTCATTTACACTAGAACAACTAAATACTCTTCAGAAGACTGTGGCTGCTTGTTCACACCTACATACGCCTAGCCAATTTGATGCAGTAAGATGCGATGCTTAAACTGGAAGATTCAAATAGCAGCATGTCTACCACACGTCATAAAAGCTTGTAGCCCAACTCAAACAGTTTTTATTGTCATGTTTTCTTGGGTTTTTTTTTTCACCCCAGGGATCACTGTTACACCGTAAAAAGTCAACTACCAGAACTGTTTTAGTTGGGTTACAATATGTTGAAAACTGCATTGTTGTGTTTCTTTAGTTATTTAATTATTAAATTTTAAAAGAGGAAAGATAATTTTGGACCACCCTGTAGAATAAGAAGCAAATTATCTATTAAAAACGGGTTTACATACATATGATTGTGACGTGCTCATAAGCTCCAACTTAATAATAAATACATAGTATCCATTTTATTATTAAACCTTACATGAATATTTATTTCAACATAATTTTTTTATCGAGTTATTTTTATATGCAGTTTTACTTGTATGTATATATATATATATATACACGTGTGTGTGTACACATACATATGAAAGATGCGTCATGAACAGATAACAACCTCCCCCAGAAAATCTCGACGACGACACCAATGCATGAACAATAAATACATAGGTTTAATCGAAAGACAGAGCACGGAACAATCTGTTAGGAGCAATAAAACGAAATTCGTCTTTAGCTTTCGTGTTTGATTTGTAGTAAATAGATTATTAAATCAGGTATACCGAAATAAAATAACAAGAATTGTAAAACATAAAATAATTGTAGTCTTTAAAAAAATACTAAATTGTACTCAAACTTTGTTTGTCATATTTAGACATTAGAAGAGCGTTTTGAACGACAAAAATACCTAAACATTCAAGATCGGATGGAAGTAGCGGCGAAGTTACACTTAACCGACACTCAAGTGAAGACCTGGTTCCAGAACAGAAGGTTTGTATACAAACCGTTATTAAGCATATGTACTTTGTACTTCACTACGAAACAAACTAGACCTGATCATCACGTGGGCTACGCTTTGGTAGTATTACATGATTTTTGTTGTTAAGCTTAAAACTGTGCTCTGCTCACAACAGATATTGAAACTCGATTTTTGCATCATAAGCCTTCAGACTTATCGCTGAGCCACAGGGGAACGTGCAATACATAATAAACTATGAAAACCTATTTTTCGGTCAGACAAGAGTAGCCCATGAGTTGATGAATGACGTTCCTCATTTCAAACTTGAGGAGTGTTCAGCGGCATATCGCAGCTAGAACCTTCAACTTCGGCACACGAACTATTAGGTCATACCCGGCCCACAAATAAAAATGGCATAGGTTATAATGCATACCACATTAAAAGGAAATAACAGTATCTTCTTCACCGAGCTTAATTATACGCACAAAGGATCTAATATATATACACCGTTTCTCCATACCAGAATGTATCTTCTTAATCACTGCATTACAGCAAAAACTTCAGTTATCTACCCCAACACAATTAATATTATAACAATATTGTTTGCTTCATTTCATTGCGTGTCTTTAGGCAGTACTATTTGCACCAACACAATTAATATTATAACAATATTGTTTGCTTCATTTCATTGCGTGTCTTTAGGCAGTACTATTTGCACCAACACAATTAATATTATAACAATATTGTTTGCTTCATTTCATTGCGTGTCTTTAGGCAGTACTATTTGCACCAACACAATTAATATTATAACAATATTGTTTGCTTCATTTCATTGCGTGTCTTTAGGCAGTACTATCTGCACCAACACAATTAATATTATAACAATATTGTTTGCTTCATTTCATTTCGTGTCTTTAGGCAGTACTTCTTTCATTTACACCTCCACTTTAAAACAACTTTCTACTATTTGTAACAATAATTTCAAGATATTAATAACTCATCTCTGAGCCAACAAGATCAGGTAAGGCACTCCAAATCGGGAGCCACACGCACACAGTACCCTGCATTTCCACAACTCTCTTGCAACTTTTACGGAATATCCCCTGTTTTGAATTCAACGGTAGCCGTCAACAGAATAACTGAAAATAAATGAAGGGAATAAACTGATTTTCTTTTTTAGTATATGGAGAAATATTTTACTAAACTTTGCCTGAGGTCAGGATGTTATTGTAATACAATATCTATAGACATTATGGGTAACCATTGGGAACTGTAAGTACAACTAGCAGATTTTCTGTCAGGATTGCGCATATCTTGGAGAACAGATGTCAGAAACATCAGGTTCAAAGTTTACTTGCAATTAGAAGGTAGCAACATGCTCGACGTACTACCAGTTCAGCAGATGTTGATACGATCATGACGGAATATCAGTCGCAGAGAAATCAATTCCATAAATTAGGCCAGAGTTAAGTATATTTACCTACAAACCAGTATGTTCACAGAATCATCGGAAGATGTTAACAGCTATAGACAGAATGACGAGAGTGGTTAACTTTGAGGAGATAAAACCAATATATCGAAAGAAAAAGCCACAACATATAACTCCTCAGATTAAGACCTACAGATCCCTATATTTTATTCCAACTTTTCTAGATCTCGTGTAAACTACTTTGTTACCAAAATTTACACAAAGGCCCGGTTTACTCCGAGACTAGTTTTTAATATTTTTTATACCTAAAAACTCGAATTTGACACAATAATTGGCTTTGTGTTTGTTTTATGAAATTTTAAATTATACTAATGAAAACATTAATCTGGCAAAATTTTCACATTTTTTCAAACAAAAAGATTTTGTCTGTTGGTAATCACAAAGCTATACAATAGGCATCTGTAGCCTGCCCACGGCGGGTAACAAAACTCAATTTTTGGCGATATAAGCTCTCAGACTTATCGGGGGCTGAATAAAAATGAAATCGTTCTTTTAATCTGTATTCTTTGTAGGAAATATTTAAAAATTACTTTTTGTTGGAATTCTAACAATTGTTTCCTATATTGAGTAGAACCTGCACTTAAAAATGTAGTAGGTAAAATTATAGTAAGAAACAGTATATGTTTTATTATTGGGAAAATCCTATAAAAATTACGTTTTGTCTAAACTTTTTAATGTAATGTGAAAGTAAAACCTGGCTGATAATTTCTTTATTTCAGGACAAAGTGGAAAAGACATACTTTAGAAGTTCCCCCGCTTGAATGTACTGCGTACAGCTCATTTTCCCAGCTTTGGAACCAAACTCCCTTTTCATTTTGGCCATGTAGTTATAATAATTACTTATCCACCCTATCAGGACTGACAAAGAGAAATTTCGTTTCTTTCGAAAGTCCCTCTTCTTTAGGGATTTACCAGAGGCAGACATCACATTATTGTAATGTGTTACCTAGTGTTCTTTACCGAGGGTGTCAGCCACTGTACCTAAATCAACCACCTGAGTGAAACTGCAATTGACAGTTCCCTTGTAAGTATAACTTCTGTGATAACTATAATACACGTATCCTACTAATCACTGCTATGACTGCCTGTTCATGGCGTAAATATTGAAGATATATTTGACGTCAACGGTTTAAGTCAAAATGTGTTTGTTTTGCTTAATAGATTTAGCTATTCTATCACAATATACAATCTATGACCCCTTCATTAGGAAGCTTATCTAACACTGAGCTGTATCATGTTTTATCGCAAAACACTAGACTTTGTGCAGCATAGACTTCACAAAATACAAGTTGATTTGTTCGACTGTAACCCACTTGCAACGGGCTATGATCTACAGTTGGTTCACAGATGTCGTCAGAAGATTATGGTGGTGAATAAGACGTTCAAGTTCATCCAGAACTTGAACAATCGAATTGCGATCATAGTGGCTATAAGACCAAACACGAAAAAGTCACTGACATTCTTTTGCAACCAATTTCGGTCAATACAAGTATGAGCACGTAGTATGTCGCATTACTGTTTCAGAAAAATTCTTAATCATCAGAGTAGAAATTCAAGAATGGACAATTAGAAACAAAATTCAGCTACACTATGGATGTTACTCGCCCTTGTAAAGGAATGAAACGAACTAATCTCTACCATGAGAACACTCCTCTCCACACCATTATACCACCTCCAGCATCTTGAGTTATGAATAACATAAGAAGGGGGCCAAGTGCCTTATGAAGTGATGTCCTTTGGTTTTATACTGTCATTACAGACAATGGTGAAATGCGACTCAACTACATAGCACTGCCTACAGGTTTTACTCCACACAAAGGCCATGAATTACTGTTTGTATCCGAGATAGATGGTTTCAGCCGCCATATGATGGTTGTTTTTTAAAGTTTTACAATAAATAAAATTATAAATGGTAAGCTGGAGTACTAACGTCTGCTGCACCTTACAAGCCCGTCAATCGTGTTTACCTTCGGTCAGTCACCAGTGGTTGTCAGACAGTTTGACATGACAAAGATCCTGCAGTGCAGACGTCCACATAAAGATCATGTCATTTTAGAACTTTAAAAGAAGCCGAAATTAAACAATTAACAAAGCACAACTTAACTTCTACTCACATTTTAGGTATTTGAATTTGTTTTCAACTTTCATGCTCTGCTGTGTAATCTGATTCTTAGTTTGATTTTAAAGTAAAAAAAAAAAACGTAAAATAACTTTTATTAAAATTATTACTAGTGATAATTGTATATAGTATAAACTGTACTCAAGATGTCTTGAAGGTCAACAGTTTTTCATCTATACCATAGAGTGAAAAAAGTACATGATGTAAGAAATTTACTGAGATAAAAAAGCTACTAGAGGGCACCACAAACTATAAAAACAATCTGAAAGCACTGACAAGTCATCTTGTCAAAATAATATTAGGACAACAAAAATAACCTTTTATATATATAGTTGTGGAAAAAAAAAAGAAAGATTTATTTAGAAAATATTTATATTGTCTTGTATATTACAAGATTTTAAAAATATAAAAATTTATTTTTATTTGTAACAGATTTAGAATTTTCAATTATAAATATGAGATGCATTTTTTGCTTTTGTATGAATTTTATGACTAGTGATTTTAACAAACACATATGTCCAAGTTCAAGATTACAGCATATAACTTGAAATTGATATTGAGTTTATTTTACAAGAAAATTCATTTTAGCAAAGGATTATGATCATATAAAGTTTTATAATTTTTTTAAATACAAGATTTTTAAAACAAATAAATTTAAGAAAAGTGAATACATTATAGAAATACAGAAGGTATTAACACAGTAGAAACCTTGTAGCTAACAACCACTATAACAATACCTTGGTTTTTTCCAACAGAATTTTATGACTAATAATAACTTATTAACAAAATGATGTTATATTGATTGTTGTTAAATTAGTGATGGTACCTTGGATTTACTCATTACAATAATGGTACCTTGATGTTATCAAATCAGTGCTGATACCTGGGATCTTACATATTAAGTGGCAATACCTTAGATCAATAAATTAACAGTCTTGCTTGAATTGTTTTTAATGGAATAAATCCTTATGTTTAATCTCTTCACAAAGTATTATATCTTTTGCACAATATGACAGAATATTTGTTGTAATATAAATTACGAATGTTGACAAAAATATTAATAACATTGGCCTTACATAAAATGTTTGTAACATGAACTTGTCGCACACATGCTATATTTTAGATGACACAGTACTTCTGCAAGTATACTACAGCCAGTTTTTAGATGACACAGTACTTCTGCAAGTACACTATGGCCAGTTTTTAGATGACACAGTACTTCTGCAAGTATACTATGGCCAGTTTTTAGATGACACAGTACTTCTGTAAGTACATCATAGCCAGTTTTGGGGCACCACTACCTTGGTAAATTAATGATAAGTTGTATGCAATGTCAGGACTGAGGTCAAAAAACTCCTGAAAAACAAAATATATAAAATGTTACATTTCAAATTAAGAGCTTTTTTTTCATGCTTAAATGAGCATGGTTCAAAGTGAAGCATTACTACATCAGTTTTAAACCAATACTGTAAAACTTATTAGGATGAAACATTTTTTTACCAATACTACTAAAAATTGAAGCTCATCACTGATTTTCCTCAATCTGTACATGAACCATCCAAGAAGTTTCTTTATCCACAAGTTCTCAAACAAATATTGTAATGGACAAAACTCAATCTTCCAACCAGCTAAGAATGTTATAGACCAACAGGCTCAATACTTTGATGAAAATCACACAATAGTGCATTTTATTTTTGATATTAGTCAATATTATATTTTTATAGTTCTAGCAATATTAATGAAAATAAAATCCTCACTGAAGAATTATATCATTTAAGCAAAGTCATGTACAAAACAATTCAAGAGTGAGTATGCAGTTGCAATTAGATATATATACAGATGTATAATAACAAATTGGCATGTTACCATAAAAAAGCCAGATAAAGGACTGCCATTATCTTACTTTATGCCAGTGATTGCAAACATTTTTAGTTGGTTATAATTCATTAAATATTAAGCAGTACTTTGGCTTCATTGTCATCCCATAATGAAGAAAATTTGAAAGCTATGTTTAATTTTATGCATCATTAGTTTAAAAACAAATTAATACTATTTCAGATTACTTATTTAGTAAAGCTAAAATAAAAGTTTCTTAAAAAATGAGCATATCTTCATAAGTAAATACAATTTATGTGAAATATTTTTCATTTACATAACAGTTGAAAGTGTTGAGTTACAAAAATTATATATTTCACATAATGACCTGAATATTCTTAGCCGTATTAGTACTAACCGTATCACCAGTATCTACCGATGGAGGTCCAAACTCTAAAGCTTTCTTGTAGTAAAACACTGCAGTAGTTAGAAGACCTTGTACAAAAAAAAAAGAGTTGAAAAGATTTTAAGAAAAAATAACATTAGTTTAAAAAACAACATGATATAAAAGTAGCTATTATCAAAATTCTAACAGAAATTAGAAATACCAATACATTCCAAAGTTTTCATAATTTTAACCTCACAGCATGCATTTTGACAATGAATAGAAAAATTAGTCAACAGACTCTTTGTTCCAGCTGAAATTCTTATTACATAAAATTGACACACAATCTAATAAATACTGTGAAACAAGTGTCAGTGATTACAGAATTTTAAAACCTTTAAACAACTGATTTCAGATTTCTTGAAAACAACACAGATGAACTGCTGTTCCTTACAGACCTTAAAAACATTAACTCTGAACAAGCTGAGTTCTGTTCACCACTGAGGTTATAATGAACAAATCACTGACAATCACTGTTGAAACACTTAGCTCATGGTTTTAAATATTGTGTTTTTAACTTAATTTTCAAATCAGTGTGTCCACAACTGGTTTCCTTAGCCTTAGGTAACATCAGCTAAATGGTTAAATCAGAGACTCCTAGGTTCAAACATAGTCACCTTTAATTTAGAACTGATGGCAAGCCAGCACCATCCACTATTTGTGTGCCTACTGTTAGCCAAATAGAAGTGTGTGTTGAGCAGCATTATATCAGATCAAATCTTGGACCTTCTGATCCACAGCCCAACCTGCTAACCACAAGGCCATACCTGGCTGTATAGATTAGACTACATAAGGATTGAGTTCTGTTGAATACAGAACTTACCAAATACTGCAGATCATACCAGTGTTGGAAACTACAAACATTCTCAATCAAAGAAGTGTAAAATGGGTTGAGTTTTGACCATTGCTGATTTTATCAAACAAGAAAGTTGTTTAATTCTGACCATTAAATACTTGATCACACACTATGATATATAATTCTATTTTAAACATGCAGACTTATCAAACAATGAAGAGGGGAATTCTCAAAAGACTTCTGCATTATACAGAACAATTCACAAGCAACATCTACACCCAATACTAAACATTAAAAATGTGGGTTTTGATCATTATTGACCTTATCAAACAATTTTGCAAAGACTTTTACATATTACTTTTATTACAGATGTAATCAAACCCAAGAATAATTAGGTTATGGGCATCAAAAGCTTATCCAATACTGTAGTAAAGAACTAGGATCTCACAACACACACTTAATCAAAAACTCTAGTATTGAGCTCAGTTTAATGCAATACAGCCTTGGCAAACACTACTGCAAAAAGTTCAGTCTGATTCATTAGAAATTTCATTGCCAAATAAATTCCAAAGCTTAAGACCAAATGTTATGTTTTTATCTGATGCAACAGTACCTACCTAATTGATGCATAGTACGGCCTAAGTTGTAGTAAACCTCTTGACATTCTCCTCGTAGTTCATGGTATTGATTTAGGAAAGCACAACCCTACATACACAAGAAAAGAAAAACCTTTCTTTCTAAATGCTGGAGAATTGTTTCTGAACAACGTTTTACAAGATAATTAGTTTGAGCTTAACATTTTGTTTTACATATCTTTTGTTTATACCACAAAAGTCTAATCTAGAAATATCTGGAAGAAGATGGTTATCATCAACATATCTGGAAGAAGGTGTTATCATCAACATATCTGGAAGAAGATGGTTATCATCAACATATCTGGAAGAAGATGGTTATCATCAACATATCTGGAAGAAGATGGTCATCATCAACATATCTGGATAAAGATGGTTAT